CGTGAACCATCGTGTGTTTTTGATACTACCAGATGGAAACTTGCTGCCACGTCCGTAATTTTTCGTTCACAACAGATCAACCCAAATGATCTCATGGTAAACGAGGCTCTAATATTTATGTCATCTTTGTGCTCAGTTCTTATCACTCACTGTAGTGAATCTTATCACTCACTGTAGTGAATGCTCACTACCAAGATATTCAGCCCGACCTGCACTTTCAGCCGTAACATTGAAACTTTTATGAATTCGCGAATAATATCAAGTTTGATCACTAGAATAGGAGCGTGTGATTAGCAGAACTATTGAATATCCTGGTGGGTAATCATTTTCAGACCTCGGTCACATCGTGCTGAGCGATTCGACCGCATAGAGAGCAGTGAACGATTTCATTCGACATCGCATCGTGAACATAAGTAAAACTTCTTGATCAAATGCATATTGATATTAACCACTGTCCAGTCCATCACTTGAACGCATAGCCAGGGATGGGGCAATATGAGCCATGTCTCAAACGTCAAAAAAATATCAAAATCAGACATACAACAAACTCAAAGACTCAGAGCTTCAAAATCAGCGAATATGTCAAGTTTTCGAATGTCAGTCTCGTAATTCAGTAGTATGAGTGAGTATCGCACTAACGGCGAATAGTTCAACTTCTTAGCAGTTGTTTGCCAATATCCCTCTCAAGTTAACTCTCTCTTCTAGTGAATCCTATCACGTTTATATCCTCATTGTCAGATGCCAGTTATGATTCCATTAATGGTTGTTAAGTGTTCAAGTGCTTTTCTTTTAAATTCGATATACATTCTAAAAAATGTGATACGACATTTTGAAAAGTATTCCTAAAGTGTTTGAATCCATTTCGAATTGTTTTTTCTCACCTAATTAANATTCCACTCGACATCAAAAAGAGAACCAAAGTAGGTTGAGAAACTTTGTTCGATAAAACCATTGTTTATGTTATTTTGCATATCATTATGTTGATCAGCAGTTCTTTGTTGGTACACACGAAAAAAAACTTTAGGCGGTGAAACATAATTGCCCTTACGAAGTGTTATTTGGCGGAAATTATGAATTTGTAAAAATTGTGTTCATGTAGATTAATTTTTCTTTCATTCTCATTTCCAGTGTGCGATCCCGAAGAGCAGAACGCTTTGGTCGATTGGAAGTTGAAGAAAGTTTCCATTCCAGAGCCAAACGAGGGACAGGTTGTTTTTTTGGATTTTTTAAGCCAAATAATATGTTTTATTTGTTGATTCAACCACAAATAACTTTTATGAAATGAAGCCATTACGTTTAATGGAAACATTACAGAGAACGGTCCTTACGCTCTCAACGTTTCAAAAGATATTCACAGAAGCATTCTGAACAGAAAAGGTTTGGTCTTTCAAACAGTAAAATGTTTCAGATCAGTTCCTTCAATCCACTGAGAATATATGTGCACTCCTCAATTTTTGACTAGCTTCTCCACGTTAGAAAAATTCACCAACGCATTTAGCTTTCTATTCAACAGCTATGCATTCTCACTCAAAAAATCTGCAAAAAATTCATGCACATTCTTTCACAACGTATTGATTTCGTTTCTATGGAATTAGAGTCAGTAAAATTCAGCCGGGTAAGTACCACAACGAGTCACATTGAATCGCGTTTAACCAGCTGAGTTGTATCACCGATTTCAACGAATGCCTCGACGGAGACTGAAAATTTTGTCAGCAAAAGCACGCAACAACGAATGGTTACTTGATTAATTATTCCATCTTCTCAACTCATTCTTCCAATGCATCACATTTCCTTGTATGTTCAAGTAAACCGTTGTGAGCGTGCGCTTAAGAGGTATTTCAGTCCAGTGATGTCTCCGTTCCACACTTTTTGTGCATTATTCTGTTGTATCGTTTCAACTTTTCCGTTCTTCTCCGCAACATACGCTCATTTTTTGAGCTTTTCTGTTACGTATATACTCTCACCGCGACATACTCTCACCTCAAAATTCCGT